CCTGTTACCTTACTCACCGCCAGAAACACAACAACACCAAAAGATAGTGTTATTTTATTGAGGTCTTCTGTAAAGTGGAGGTTATTTCCCCAGACGGGCGCTCCAATTCGAGCGGGAAGTCCGCTATGGCCCAGCTCTCTTGACGATTACGTCAACGAATTATTGAGCTAGGCGAGTATTTTTTTAAATGTTTTTATACTTTTTATTCTCAAACTGTACCTTTGATGCTCAGCCAACCTTGCAAAGGCGTAAAAATATGTATGAAATGTAAATATAAAATTGTTATAATATTATTCATAATCATAAGCAATCTTACAAGCCGCAATTTATATGTAGTTGCTAAACTGCCTAACTTTTTTTTTAACAAAGAATATCAGCACTTTTTTATTTTGCCATACAATAAACTCTATTAAAAAATGCTGTCTTAAATTTATTTGCACTAAAATATAATTATTGTCTAGATAATAAGTTTTACAAAAATTTCATTTCTGCAAGGACCTTTTTTCAACAGCCAAAAAAATTGTTCATCTTACAATATGGAACTAATAAAAACTACTTTTTAAAAAACTTTGTCAAGCTTTGCACTGGTGTGGGGTAATAACTTTGCAATTAAATAACACATTTAAAAAAATATATAATGTAAAATAAACATCTGAAAAGACTTACCATTCAAAAGCATTGTAGTGGTAGTAGCACAGTCCTAAGCCATACAAGAACAATGGGTCTTTCCAGTTGTCTTGTTCCAATGCGTAGAACTTCTGGTATGCTGACATTGCTAAAAAAGCAAGGGCTCAAGTTAAAATTAACAACAAGACCTTATACATTTTTTTCTGATTAATGGCCAAACAGACTTTAGAAACGCGACACCACCCAACGCCTCGCCACGTGTGTTGAGACAAATCAAAATGTACTATTTTCTATGATCACAATCACATTAGGAACATCCGGCGCGACGCGAAGAGCCATAGAAGATGCGCCTAGCGTAGCGTGGCATCGCGTTTCATAAGGCGCTTTGCAGACGACGGAGCGGGGCGGGCTTTTTGTCCGCGAAGCAACAAAAACCGCGTCTGCCCGTCGATGTCTGCGGCTGCCCTCGCCGCGTAACACGACGGGCAGAGGCAGTCAGTTCAGGATGTTCGTTCTAGTGGAATATCACTAAAAAGCTCGTGGCGCGGACTGACCTAGCCGCCCCGCGTCACCGTCTGCGTTACTGCATATAAACTGGTTTGTATGATCCACGGCGGGCAGCCGCGGACATGCCGCGCCGCCAGTGCCCGCCGGGCACCTGCGGCGCGGTCTTTTTGCCCTCTGTGTGCGTTTGTAGTATAGGATTCACTTTGTGCTATCGTTCGCGGCGAAATTGACCGGCCCGCTCCGCCCCGCCGTCTGCAAAGCGCCAAAGTCTGTTTCTACTTTTATCCCAGAAAGAGTTACCCTGAAGTACAGTTGTTAGCAGTGTGTACTGTATTTTTTTTAAACACAAAATAAACTAGGTGTTGATAATAGCAATCCCCTGCGCAGTTAAAGTAAGGTTGCTATTTGTAAATGTTTATAAATACTATAATGTATTTTTATAATATAGGCAGGTATTTAAATAAGCTAATAACAGAACAACTTGCACAATATAATTGATATCTATTCTATTTTAAAGTCTTTCACTGCTTATGGCCTGAAGGCCTATTTGCTGATGATGAAAAATTAAATGATGATCACTTAGCTATTGACCACAATACTGTATTATACTGTTAACATAACTTGCCTTTGGCATAATCTTCCAAGAGCAGATGGAAGTGGCCTAATTTGCAATAAGTTTTTGGGTCAATACAGATGTCTCTCCTAGCTCCAGGTGAACATGCTCGCTCCTCCTCCTTCAAAACAAAAGGGTAAAATGTGTAATTTAAGTCAACAATGATTTGGACACAGTTGCTAAAATTCTTGCCAACTTAACATTATAGTTCTATTCATATTCTAAGCAATATTAGTGCATAACTAAGTTTATGAACATTATTCTATAATTCAAAATAAGAAAGCAAAAGCTAATTTTGGCTTGGCTTTAAGTTATCAAATTATATTTTTTTTATTTATCTGGTTATTTTAAGAAGTCACTATCTCTTAAATAAACATAATAAGAACAGTGGTTCTACCAAATTTGACCATTCAATCTATAATTGAATATAATAATTAATATATAGGTACAGTTCTTTCTAAACTAATAAAACAATTTTCAATCACTCACATCTTGTTTTAGGTAACATTACAAGACATAACAACAAATTTAAAATCTAAACAACTTCAGATTACACAAAATTACATATTTTTTATACAAAACAAAGAACATGTATTATACTATTTTTATACAATAAGTCTCAAGTACATATTGAATTAAAATATAAAGTTGATACCTTAACTTGCACAAGCATTCCTTCCAGATATTTAACTGCCTTGAGCACAAGAGCACGAGTTCGTCCATGTTCGCTGCCACGCAATTTCAGGAACCCAAATTGGCGGCTGGAATGTTTATGGTGAAATATGAATTTAAAACATGCATAAACCCAATAAATTATTTAATAAATAATATAAGGAAATACATTCAACATGAAGGGTAAAAAACAGTACCATTACAAGAAAACATATAGGTATCTTTCTTAGCAAAAAATTTAAATAACAGGCGGCCATATGCTTGTTTGCCACCCTTTTATCATACAGAAGCTATATTAAGCATATTTATTAATATGTAAGTAAATCATAAATGTAGATAGGTACTAGTTTTATTATGTTTTGCTTTACAGGTTGTGGGAATCAGAGAATTAATGTCTGATCCAATACCTACTTCAAACATAATAATGTAAAATTTAAGTGTCTATAATAATCATGCAATTTGATAAACCATGAGACAGTATCTCAATAACGACAAAAAAAAAGTATATAAAATTTCTTCTGTAATTGCAGCAAGAGTAACAAACTCATAGAAAGTAGATACCTGTCAAGTTCAGATAGCACTTGCAACTCTTGCGAGGTTAGATGCAACTCTTCTTTCTCATCCATTATTGCACAATCCGACAATCTCACAGGGTGAGAAACATTCTGATTGTTGTCTTTCTATGATAAATACACGATACCCTAATATTTATTCACAATAACTCCATAATTTCTAAATAAAAAGGCGCTTGCTCACAGACTACCGCTTTCTGTTTGACATAAAATATTTTGACACAACACCATAGATATTTTGACACATAGAAAGTGGACACAACACACAGGCAGGGTTCTGTTCCAAACCTGCGCCATACCTACGCTCTATGGGTACGGCCATAGTGCACGCAGGTTCAGACTCGGAAAACAAGCGCGAGAAATAACAGTTTAGTTTAAGCAGTCTGCCTGTTGCCACTATGGCCATCCTGCATAAATGCTAGCTAGCTAGGCTGCGTTCCACTTCATGTGTAAAGCTCAATTTTGACAAGCTTCATAAATTATAGGTCAAAATTGAAACGTCAGGGTGAAATAGAACTTTGTAACCATGTTAAAAACTATGAAAAATAATTAAAGGTTTCAATCGTCTGTCTATCTATCAACTTTTTAATAGTCTCTCTGAACCGGGTTTAAAAGCTGTTCGATCGGGTTTTATTCTCTAGAGGAATTGAACGCAGCCCAGCCGGTAACAGGTACGGCCATAGTGCACGCTAGTTCAGAATCAGATTCAGACTTAGAAAACAAGCGCGAGAAGTAAACAGTGTAGTTTAAGCAGGGTGGCCATAGTGGCAGCAGGCAACTGGTTGCCCGCGCAGGTTTCGGAGTCAGGCACAACGATATATATACCCTAGATACACCACGAGCGCTCAAAATGTGTCCCAATCAAGAAGTGCTTGAACTCCACTCAAGCACTTCTTGGTTCACAGTCACGCGCGGACTGTTACAAAGTCAAGATGCCACAGAGCTCCACGAAAAAATGAGAAAATAATACTTAGAGTACGAAAAGTGTCGCTTTTTCGACAGGTATCTAGTTAATGTTTGTTACTTTAACGCATTTGAAGTAAATTTTCATCTAAGACTTACTATAAACTGATTTAATATAAAATATTTGTGATATTCAAATGCATGGTCGGTTATATGTCGCCATATAGCCATTTCTTTTCCTCGCGGTCCGCGCCTGGTATATTGCTAACAGCGCGTTCAGAATTGCGCGTAGAGTCAAAGAACTAAGGTCGAATTTCTTCCGCATATAGCAATAAGTCGTAAAATTTTACGAGCTTGCATTTCAAACTGTTAGAAGTCCTTGACGCATACGTTTTATTTAAGATCTTATACAGTATGTATTAAAGGTTACGTTCAATATTTGAATAATGCCATAAATTGATTTTGACTACGCGATCATCTTACGGAGCTCCGTGAATCGTTCAATGTACCTTTTGGACAGGTTTCGGGCACGATTTTGTGTGTTACGGTATTTAATATCCTTGGTCAGGCACATCGGATAAATAGAAAAAATAATATTACTAATACTATTCAATAATTACGTTATTAGATAAAATAAGCTTCTTCTTTAGTTTTAAGTTTGGAGAATCATGTCAAATATTGAACCAACTGAAAACGGTTTTAAATTTCGTTTTGATATTTATCGGTCTCGTGTCGCGTAATGACACCTTAAACATAGGATGGGCTGCATGCTGCATCATCTCTCTCTATTTCTGTGGTGATTTTTTAGAGACCCAAAATTATTCGACTTGAATGCTAATGAATAGGAGATTGCCATATTGAAATAATAATAAGAAGATAAGCATGATTCACTCATTCAGTTTTTTAAATGCAATTTTCAATAATTCGTTCATTCCTCTGCCTCTCGCCAGTCATTCAGTTTTTCTGTCATGGTGGCACACAGTTGATGATTTTTCAGCGGTTGTGGTTTCAAGCTATAATATCTTCTTTTTTTGAGTTACAGTTTTTATAGATTTTTTCACTAATTCAATAACTTTAAGATTTTTATAGTAAAGGCATTGACGGGAGGAACATGAGTTATAGAGATTCTGTAAGTATTTTTTTGACGGCTTTTCATTTAAGATGATAGTTAAGATTGGGTACAATAAAAAGTTCTATAAAGTTTCTATTTATAAAACGTATGTTTTAGAATATTTATTTAATTTAATATTAGCAAAACTGGCCCTGACCAATTTCTATTTTTATAACGCGTCTTCAAGGCCAGGTATCCTCCTACCTACACGTCCGTTTCAGTAACGTCGTTCCGTTATTTTTATTGTAAATTAATTGAAAAAATTCAGGGAAGTACCCTGCTTTTAAATACAAAACCTAATGTACTTATTAAAACTGCATAGTATTTTAAATTATGATTTTATGTAGAGCAAAATTCAATGATATGGAATATTGCTTTACTGCATGTAATTAAATATAAATTATTGTTTTATACAAAAAAGATTGGTATTTTGTCTAAAAAGTAACTAAAGACTTCATAGCTTTCATTTCTTAGAGATGGTGTGTCTTAACATAAATAATGATTACGGCTGACTCATTCTGCTTTTGTGCTGTAAGTAATTGCTGTTTTACAACATTGTCATATTCTGATGTATAAATATTTTAAATAAATATAAATAATAATGTGGTACACAGATTTGACCATGGGTGTTAGTACAATCTGATGATTGTTTAGGGATAAATGTCATGTCACATTATGAATACAAGGCATCAATTTGTTAAATGTTCATGTTTTGTTGTAATTATATTCGGAAAAGAAGAGGCTAAGTGTAATAATTATGAAAATAAATCAACATTATTGTAGATATCTCAAAAATTATATTGAGTTAATTAAAAAGGAAAGTGTATAATTATAAAATTAATAAGCTAGTATTTAGCTTTCTGCCCATGTAATAAGTGTTTATTATCTACAGTACTCACTATTTCCGAGATCTCATTCATACTGTGCAGCTAATGAGCAACGTGTAGGATCCTACCTAAGGACTTTAATGGTATTTATTATGAGGATTATTTGACTGCACTTTATGGTTATACCTGTTTTTTGCACGAACACAGGGGGAATTTTATTTCAAACCCAAATGAGCAGGTACTTAGTAACAGTAGCAAATAAGTGGTCTTTGTTTATTTTATGTACTTGTCTCTAAATTTGGATGTTCCTAATATACAGCAAGTTCTCTAATTATTTATTTCATATGTTAACTCTCACTACCAAATGTGATAATTAAACTCGATAGTGTCATGTGCAATTTCAAGAAAATGCTTGTCGGAGTGGGTGGAAAGATTATTAGGATTACAAAATATAATATTTGAAAATTTTATATTTTGTATTATTTTCATGAAATCAGTACCCAGTACATAATAATCAACCAAGTGCTTAGATAATTCACAGTCATTGCATTTTTCTGTCTTTATTGTGCTGCTGTTATCATAATACTAACATTAGCATGTTGTTTGAGCACTAATCAGATGTTGATATCAGAATATAATGTTTTATGTCACTCATTATTGTGAGAGGCACCAGTGTTCTTTGGCTTGGGTGTAGTTTTTGTGTTAAAAGAGGGATGGGCCAGTCTTTATCTAGTTGTTTGAGTAGTGAATCTCGTGTGCAGAGTTTCCGTTCATCGACGTCGTCGGTGTTGAGTTCCTTGTCGGCGTTCCGGGCGCGGCCATTTGCCGACATTAGCTACAGTCCTACGCCTGACGTGAATGAGGTCTACCCGGGCCTGTATGTCGGTGATGCGTAAGTAACAGAGTGTAATTATAGTTTCACAGTCATCCATGCATATAGGTAATTTATGTTATTCTGTATTGTACACATTCCAACACTACGTGTGACATAATAGATGGTAGTAAATATAAATTTATATCTTAGTCTTAGTATTCATTCTGTTGGATCCCGAATGTTTAATCAGCACTAATTATTGTCGTATTTATATGGATACCATTGACCTTGTACAAAACTGATAAAATATTAAGTAAGTGTATCTCTGGATTTCAGCTCTAAACTGCTCCTAAAACCATGCAAAGATTTTATTTTAAAACGGTTTTCACCATGAGTTATATAAATTCACGAAAAGATCGTTAAAGATCGGGCAGAGTAGTTAGACGGGCTTTATACTACCCAATTTTAAGGGCCCGATCCAAAGGGTGGGCGGTAGGGTGGTACCAATATTACACGGCGCCGATCGCCCTAGGTCGGGTCCCTAACTCACATTACACCCTTAGTATGGGTAAGGGTTAAAATTGGGTAATATAAACCCCGCTTTAGTATTGTAAACAAGTGTAATCAAACTAATATTATAAACTAGCTTCGACCTGTGACTTTGTCAGGAACCTAAATTTTAAGTTCCTGTGGGAAATAAAGTACTTTGTTTCAATCCAGGTAATCAAATCCGTTAGACCGTTTTTGCGTGATTGATTAACAAATATCGAAAAAGTTGTAGGTTTCTGTGGGATTTTCAAAAGAATTAAGTTAACGCGGACGAAGTCGCGGTCGGTTGATAGTATATTATATTTCATCGTTTGTTTGTAGCGTTGCGGCGAAAGATAAGGCTTTTCTTCGTCGTATGGGCATCAACTATGTGCTCAACACGGCAGAGGGTAGTCGCTACACCCAGGTGGACACTAGCCACCTGTACTACCGCGACTGTCCTGGCCTCCGCTACAAAGGCTTCCAGCTAATGGACCTCCCCACAACAGATATATCGAAGTACTTCCACATCGCTGCTAACTTCATTGATGAGGGTGTCTCCAGTGGTGGTGAGAAGCAATAGAATATTCTCTAATATTATAACTGTAGTCAGTAAAAACAACAATTTATCGACGACATTTCTTCGAGACTTCTATTAAAAGAATATACAAATATTACTTTAGCTTGCTCAAATTTGCTTAAAGCTGTATCAAATCTGGAATAGTGTTCATTTTATTATTCCTCCGTTCAGTAAACATGTACTCCTTTTAAGAAAAAGTTGTAAAGTGAAGTATTGAATGATCTAATGCAAGGTCGTGCTCAGCGCTTACAAAATAAAAATGCTGAGATAACTACGTATTTTATATACGTTTAATACTATTAGCATTCTCATTTGAAGTTTATTGACGTTAGTATAATGCGATTCAACTAAGAATAGTACCGACTGGGCGCCATATTTTGACGTCATAGCTGTCAATTCAAACCAAATGGGTAGAGTGAGCAAAAAAATTTGCTATTGAATAAAACTTATTTACTAAGACTAAGTGACACAAAACATCAGATTTTTTAATAAAATTAATTTACTAAGGTTGTTAAGAACACAACCGATTTTTAATAGTATTTCTTTATTAAGCCTATGTGAAAAAAAACATTAATCAGAATCTAGCTCTTCAATTTCGCTCATCTCTGCATTACCGCCGGAGAAGTTATGAATAATCATGCAGAACGAATATGCATCCTATATGTAAACAAAAGTTTTAAATCGAGTTTCTGAACGTAACATGAAGTGACATTTGGTTGACGATATAGGTTATCAACCATTCATAGCCAATACTCAATAAGTGAAAAAAAGAAAAAAATAATATTAATCCTCAACATTTGTTATTGTTTGTTTAAAAATGTTTGGTTTTTATTCTAGATCAGCTGAGTGCTAAAAAAGTGTTTCGAGATTTTTTTGCAAACCGTACTTTTCAAGCGACATTTGACAGATGGAGGTTATTGGCTTTCCTATTCTTATTTGAATCGCATTATAAAGGGTTTTAATATAGTTGGTAAGGGCTGGCAATTTTCTGCTTCTGTAGATTGCAGTCAGACAGGGCGACGATCTGTATCTGCGGTACTATATTAGATAATATGAACGGAATCCCATTGAAAACTATGAATTACTTGATACTCTGCCAGAATGTATGTCATTTGTAATGTTTATCAGGTCGCGTACTCGTCCACTGTTTGATGGGTGTGTCCCGATCGGCTACTTGCGCCCTGGCTTTTCTTATGATTAAGCGAGGTATGTCTCTGACTGAGGCGTTGTCGACGGTGCGCTGCCGTCGCGACATCCACCCCAATGAAGGCTTTCTGCGTCAACTTCAACAGCTGGACCGTGAATTGCGCGTAAGCCGCATCCGCTGACCTTACACCCCCTTGCAGCCACGCTTCAGCCTCTCTTTCGACCTCAAATACGGACGCAGCAGAGTGCGTAGTCTAGACCGTTCCTACACCAGTCGCTACTGAACTAAAAACACGCCTTGGAAGAACTGAAGCGAGCGCTTAAAGATAAATCCAAAGATTTTGATGATTTTTACTCGCGAAATAACTACATTATTAGGACAATATTTTACTTCATGATTATTGTCCAGATTAAATTTAAATCTAAGTGCATAGAATGTTTATAGAGCCATATGATATTTTGATGATAATTATTTACACTTATGTGATTGATGATGTGTTATTTTTCTATAGAGTAACTTTAAAAAAAATAGAATAAAATGGCAAAATGATATTTTCAAATAACAAATAATTTTATAACTGGTATGAAGCACAAGGAACATTCATTATTGTATGTGTATAATCTCATGTGCCATTGATTTTATATAGAAGATGGAAGGAGAATACAGAATTATAATACATATATACCTAGTCAGGTCATAAATTTTGTCACATGTTTAATATAAAATAATTAAAACAAGTTTATTCATTATGTAACCATTTATATACCAAAATAAACTTAACAAAACATAGATTCTTATGACCATAAAGTTTATTCAAAATGACCTCCGTGATTTTGAATACAGGCCTTCAATCTGCGCGGCCAGTCGTCTATGGGTGCGGCCAGAGTGCACTCAGATTCAGATTCAGATTTCGAAAACAAGCGCGAGAAATAAACAGTGTAGTCGAAGGGTACGGCCAGAGTGCACTCGTGATTCAGATTCAGTCGCCGTCAGCCAGTCTTGTGTGCTCTTCGCTCTATGAGCTGGCGTCGAATAATGTTGGAATACCCAGTGCCTGTTATTGAACATGGTATGAGAAACAGGTTCCACAAGGTTCGTCAGGACTGTATTTTGATACACAACTGCATTCGTTTTTATACCTTTCTTACAAAACTGTACCTCTGTATGAGCGAGGATGGAAAATCACCTTGTTGGACACGAGGAATACGGTTGCTCGCTTCTGCACTACTGTGTGCGTACACCTTATCATTTTGTTTGTGGTAGCTCTCTTCTACGGTAAAAATTTTTTCAACCGAATAAAGAATTTCACGATATTTTTTTCCCGCATACCACTTCAACAAAGTGGCATCTCTTCAGTCTCAGGTCCATTAGACGAGAATTCAAACGATGTCCAGTTTTTCTTCGATATGCCCGAAGCCCTAAGTCTTCACACTTTTCACCGTGGTTCTGCTTAACCCCATCTGAAGGGTCAACAGTTTCTGCCTACGTTTGGGATTTCTTTGAATTCGCGCCTTCACAGCTTTTATCAATGCTGGAGTCCTAACAGACCGAGGGCGACCACTTCTTGACCTGTCATCTACACTAGAGTCTACATTGTTGATGGTACAATAAACGAATCTTTTGGTTATATTCAAATTTTTCAGTATGTCAAAAATTTGAATTGGCTGGTAATCGCAACGATGCAACGTAACAACTGCAACACGGTCTTCTTTCAGCGGCCACTCCATATTTAAAAATGAGTGAAATTCTAAAAAGTATACATTTTTATTTTCATGAACAATTCGAAATTCGATTTCAATAAACTTTTTTTGTGGCCAGCATTCTAAAAGAAAAGTTTTTACTGTGTGACAATACTTATGACCTGACTGTGTATATTTATTTATATCTTAAACTTGTTAGTAGCATGTATGTAGTTATTTATTTATTATAATATTTATAATTAAAGTTATATATGTCCATTACATAAGATGTTACAACTTCTAGTTATTTAAGTCTAAATCTATAGTACAATACTGTAGCCTTATAGTCATGTGATGACTTGTATTTGCAATAATGCCTGTTAAGAACCAGGTTGTTATGTTATTCGGTAGCTTTAAGTTATTTTGTTAAAGACTGGCAGCTATGGCAGCTAGAGATGGCTTCTTGTGTGTGGAGCGATGTGAATGCACTAGAACTTAGCATGTATGTCATTACCATATTCACAAGTGTCACAGGGCGTGAGCAGTCATTGTCTGGATGTTAATACTTGTTGCCAACTCTTATGACACTCGGCTGCATATCTGTGTCACTATTAAAGTCTATTTAAAGTTTACTCCCATCCTCACCTGTAATTCATCAAGAGATCTACTTTTGATATTAATATAGATTTGTATGTAAATAGATACTATAATAGGCTTAGATATTGTTAATTCATTGATAAAACAATAATTTAAACCAGTTGACACTAAATTTATTTTTAATATACGAATTGTGATTGTTGGTAAACTAGTCTGTGTGTAAGTGCAATATTAACAATGTGATAAGCACCAAAGGAAGCAAACATTGTGATATTGAAGTGGGAATAGATTATCATATATTTTAGAAGATAACTGTTTGGTTGTAATTAAAATTTTAATAGTGTAATTATGGTTTATTGCAATAGAGTTAGTGAAATATCAATGTTATATTTTTAAATGGGCAATAGATAGACATATTATATACTTAGAATTTTGCTAGACAGTAAATGCTGTATCTGCTAATAGGGTTCACTGTCGCTTATTTTCCTGCGTTCTCTTGGCTGTTCCCATGAGGGTACAGTGGAAAATTATCTTTGCCGCTGTACCCTTGGCTATAAAAAGGTACATCATCTAATATATAAAATTCTCGTGTCACGGTGTGCGTAATTGAACTACTCCGAAACGGCTCGACCGATTTTCGTGAAATTTTATATGCATATTCAGTAGGTCTGAGAATCAGACAACATATATTTTTCATCCTCTTAAATGTTAAAGGTGGTCCACCCTTAATTTTTTTTTTTGATAATTTTTTTATGGTACATCATACAAAAATTCATTCGACCCTAAATTTTCACCCTTCTACCACCAACCCCAATTTTTTTTTGGCGGTACGAACAGTATGAAGTTTGCTGGGACAGCTAGTAATAATAAATAAATAAATATTTCTAACACACACCAATCAACCTAGCCCAACTTAAGCACTAAGTACTGTGAAGTTAACACACAACACCTGCATGACCCTTAAAATATTTACTGTTTCGTAATAAAGTAATAATAATAAATTTCGTAATGGCCAAGGGTACAATAGAAAATAAGTGTAGATCACTGCTGTGTACAGGCTGCCCCTTTATACAGAAAAACATGCCTGTAACAGTTTTTTTATATTATTGCTGAAACCACCACCAGCATTGCTGGTGCCTTATTTTCAAACTTGAACTTGGTGAACAAACTATTTGGCTATGAACTGGTGTATTGCTTTTGTGTTACGCTCTAGTCCAGAAAAAACTAAATTATTGTAATACTTTAATAAAATCAGCTTATTCTGAGATGATGCTGGATGTTGTCAGGTTTGTTTTTGCAATGTTTGAAAAAAAAATGAATGCCAGAGCAACAAATTATTTATCTTAAATATTTTTACCTACCTACCTACTTTTTTATAAGAAATTCATATGCAACATTTGCAATGATCTGTCGTTTCTATCAGAAGGTGAGAAAACTTATTCATCCAAAGTAATAAGAATAATACATCTGAAAAGTACCTGATTTACTGTCCATTTATTAATTTAGATGATAAACAAGCTTAAATTTTGATACTCCTTTTCAACTGAGTAGTATTTGGTTTGAAAGGTTTGAAAAGTTCAGCAAATGTTCTAATAATACATTTATCATGCAATTACCTTTGTATATAATATATCAAATTAAATCATTTATTTATAATTTAATTCTAAACTTTGTTAAAATAATTATTATGTAATGGATTTTAATAACCATCCAATAAAATTATGGGTATAATAATACATTCTTTGATTTCTCTTCACCAGACTGATGAATGATTAATAATAAATTCAAAACAATAGGCTTTACAGTCCATCAAACTTTAAATAGAGTTATACAGAGTGCATACTTTAATTAAACCTTTAAAATGTTTAACAATGGAAATGAATATAAACTAATTTTGTCTCAGCAGGGCGTCTGATTATAGTTTTAACATCAGCTCTAGTTAATCAAAACAGATTGTATCATTTACAAATCATAAAGTAACAAACAACTAAGGTGAGGTGTAAATAACAAATTAAGAGTCAAAATTAATTTATTTTAAAACTACAAACTAATCAACTACAATTTTACAAATATTCTCTGTTCATTTGAGTTTTTTTGGCGCGCTTATCCCTGGCTCTAGGGAACCAACGATGTGGTGTTGTCAAAGTGAGACTAGACAATTGTTTTCTAGCTATTTCAGGAACCATATCTTTGAACACTCTTAGGGCTTCATTTATATCTGTCATTTTTAGCAGGCTCTTGTCTTCAATTTCATCAGGCAGTGGTCTAGACTGATCGTATGGAAATTCTTTCTCACGATGTAGTGCAACTATTGTAGAGCCATCATCAGTCATCACTATTTTGTTGAATTGCCTAAAGTATATGTAAGAAGGTTTGAAAAATGCTTTCCGTAATAAAAGCGTCATCGTTTACAGTTTCTTTTAGCTTTAACCTAAATAATTTTCGTGAACCGCACGTGACATTTCACTGACACTGACATTCAGGCTGTCGAACTGTCATTGTATTTTTTTTTAATTTACTCTTTTTTAAAGAAAGCAAATTATTTTATTTGTATTTTTTTGTTTTTCTATTTATGCTGGCACGTCACATGGTTATTAGTATTTGCTGTTTCTAAATTTGAAAATGGTGTCGATTCTGGCATGATTTTCTAAATCTAAACTTAAATTTGACAACAGTGTATCCTTGTCATTCTCTATACAGAATGAAAAGGAAAGACTGATAGTTAGTTTTAAGTTTAGAGAATCACGCCAGAATCGACATCAATTTGTATTTACAATTGTTTATAAAGAATGAAAAAGACAGACGAGACCATAAACGAAAGAATCAAATGGACGACGGAGCATTTCACAAAAAAAGCGTAGCCATTTTTTTGTCAGTGTGTCGCTGTCAATGAGCATAATGGATGTATTTAGAGAAGCGACAAAAAATCATATTGTGGTTTGGGTTATCGGTATGAAAATGAAATAGTTTTCAATTTTAAACGCATTATTCATCTTGCTTGCTGGATCCAGTATGCGGGAGAGCGCTATACACGTAAAAGAGATGGAGATACAAGATCTGTTTTGGTCCCTAGAGATGGATCAAGGGTAAAAACCCAAATGGGCAAAAAGGGCATATATTGGGCAAATAGGGATAAAACGTTTTTACGTCCAAATAAATGTCCAGTAGCTGGGCAAAAACTCAAACGATAAAAATAGAGTCACAAAAATGATTTTTAAATCTAATATCCTGGGTAAAGCTTACCCACGTTTCAAATGTAAGCATTGAACACAATTATGGCAAATAGCTAGTTGATTTTCATAAAAATGAGTTCGTTCATATCATTGTTAACGTGAGAAAGCTAAAGGTTAGGTTATATATAACAGAAATAAATAAATAAATAAATATTTCCAACACTCACACCAATTAGCCTAGCCCCAAAGTAAGCACTGTAAAGGCTTGTGTTATGGGATACTAGGGTAACGGATAGAATACATATATTGTACATATATAAGTATATTTATATGAAATACATATTAAACATCCATGACTGGAGTACAAATGCTCGTATTCATCACACAAACATCTGCCCCCACCGGGATTCGAACCCGGGACCTCTCGAGTCGGCGACGCCATGAAACCCGGCGTATAAACCACTCGGCCACGGAGGTCGTGAAATAAAACTCATAAGCTTTATATATCATGTTTAAGTCTGATTTATGGAGTTAATAATAAACAATTTACTCGCATTTTCTTCGGGGTCCCTCATATAAAAATCAAAAGTGTTCATCTTAAGTCATTAAAATTAAAATCAGTCGTTATACTTACAGCTACCTCACATTTTTAGTATTGATGGAACAAATATAAGTTTTGATTTATGATTTTATAATTACTTAATTGTAGATTTGAATGACAAAAGTCAAATCATTACTTATTTTAAATATTATATTATTAAGTTTTCAACCTCCCGAACAAGCCGGTTTCCGAAAAGGCTTCAGTACCATAGACCACATTCATACGCTGCGGCAGGTTATACAGAAGACCGAAGAGTATAATCTGCCATTTTGCTTGACGTTCGTGGACTATGAGAAAGCTTTCGATTGAGACCTGGGCGGTGTTACAGTCTCTTCAAAGGTGCCAAGTAGACTACAGGTATGTTGAGGTATTAAGGTACCTTTACGAAAACGCCACTATGTCAGTCCGATTGCAGAACCAGCGCTCTAATCCTATCCAACTGCAGCGAGGTGTGAGACAGGGAGATAAGATATCTCCGAAACTGTTCACAGCAGCATTGGAGGATATTTTCATGCTTCTGGATTGGAAAGGACGAGGCATTAACATTAATGGCGAGTACCTTTCGCACCTTCGTTTCGCCGACGATGAAGTTCTTATGGCTGAAACCTTGGAAGATCTAACACGATGCTCGAAGATCTTAGTAGAGCTTCCTAAAAAGTGAGTCTTAAGATGAACATGGATATTACGAAAATTATGTCGAATGCCTATGTAGTACCCGCTTCAGCTAAAATTGGAAACACTATATTCGAAGTTGCCGACTGTTACGTCTAGGACAGACAGTCCAGTTAGGTAAGTCCAACTTTCAGCTCGGATAGGCAGTGTCCGGGAAGCTACGGAAAGTCTTCGCGTCCAAATTACCTCAGTGTCTCAAGACAAAAGTCTTTGACCAGTGTGTATTGCCAGTGATGACCTACGGAAGCGGGACGTGGTCCTCTACTGCGAGTCTCATAAGAAAACTCAAGGTCACACAGCGAGCAATGGAGAGAGCGATGCTCGGTGTTTCCCTACGCAATAGAATCAGAAATGAGGAAATCCGTAGGAGAACCACAGTAACCGATATCGCTCGAACGAATGCTCTGCTGAATTGGCGTTGGGCGGGACACGTAGCAAGAAGAACCGATGGCCGTTGGGGCCGAAAGGTTCTGGAATGGCGACCACGCACCGGACGGCGCTCAGTGGGCAGGCCCCCTACAAGGTGAACCGACGATATTGTGAAGGTCGCGGGAAGCCGATGGATGCGAGTGGCGCAGGACCGATCGGTGTGGAGATCCTTGTGGGAGGCCTATGATCAGCTGTGGGCGTCTCGTACGGCTGACATGATGAATATTAAGTTTAAAAGTAAGTGAGTAAAGTAATAATAAAAAGACTATATGAAATGAGAATATTTTATTACCGATATTTTTGTTAACTGATCAAATAAAATAGCTACCCACAGGCTTGGCTTGTGTCCGTGATGCTAGCGTACCCACGATCAATATACGGTTTTTCGTTATGCCATTAAATACTGCGGAAATAGTGCCAAATTAGTGTAAAAATAAAAAAAATAGTGCCTCTTTAATTTAAGAAATAAAGACCATTTTTACTGTGTACGTTTTACTGCGAATTAACATAAAATACTTTTACTGTTAGAGGCACTATTTGACACACTATTTATACATATAGAATTGATAACGAGGAAAGTTCATTTTCTATGAAAACTATTATGGGTACGCCAGGTTGACGCCAGCTAAGAATGTTTAGTTCAATATCTTTGGTCTTTTAAGAGTATTGATTATGAAATTTTGTAAAGCCAGGGCACTATTTGCTACTAATTATTTTTGTGTGTCAATTTCGTTGCTTAAATATATGCCGTTCTTGGGGTCGGCCATGGGTACGCTAGCTTGACGTCATCGTAGCGTACACAGTAAAAATGGTCTTTATTTCTTAAATTAAAGAGGCACTATTTTTTTTATTTTTACACTAATTTGGCACTATTTACGCAGTATTTAATGGCATAACGAAAAACCGTATATTGATTGTGGGTACGCTAGCATCACGGACACGCTTGGCTTCACCAATGTGATCAGTGCAGAAAAAACCTTTTTAAAAAGTATAGACAAAAATAAGAGAACTATTACTTACCTCCCAAAATAGCCGAAACTTTGTCTAAATTATGAAAAATATTTTTTACTATTAAAATAGAAAGTACGCAGGTACGCCGAGTGCACACGGGCGTCTGAAACTGACCCATTTGATAACCAACAAAGAACAACCCAGAGACGCAGAGAAGGTGATGGGAATCGAGGCTCTCTGATTGGTTTATTCAAGGTCACTTATGCATCGTGCGCAAGGGATGCAAATAAAAACATATGGTTGACATGCTTGTGCATCACCCATTTATTGAGTTCATGATTTTTTTTGGTAGTTTCCAAACCACCCCAAATGAATAATACCTAATCATATTTCGTAACACTTGTCACAAAAATATTATTTTATGGGCCGAAATATACATTTTGAATAAAATCTAAGGAAAAGAATTTGCCTTCTCTATAAAATCATCAAATATTTTAATAAAGTTATTTACCTAAAAAAAAGAAACTAAAATAATAAATGCCCAGTCTTAAGGACATTTATTGGACAGAAATGGACATTTATTGGGCAAATACGGAATATGCCCAAAATGCCCGGGCAGAAACCCATCTCTGGTTGTCCCACATGCTTTAAAACAATTTAAATGACGAAAGTTATTGAAGTGAAGTGAAGTGACTCTAAAGTAATGAACATTTTCCAAATAAGTTATGACTTAAAGGTCTTTGTTACCAGGTCATAAAATAAAAAAAAAACACACTTATTGTAATTTCATTCATGATTAAACTAAACATAATATAAAATTATAAGTAATTTATTAGAATAATATAATGTATTTTATATATTTAAAAAGACCTATTACTTACGTTTCAAATTAATTTTACCTGATCCTAATCCTTCCAAATTCCGTTTCACAACCTTTTTATTTCATTATTTTGGTTTCCTTACTTTTTACCCTGTCGTGGCCAATGCACAAACCGTGCGAGCCATTATTATTAATAAAAAAAAAATCATTCATGATTCTAGATTGTTTTGTTTTGCCCATGTATTGACTTCTCATTAATTTGTTAGATATTAATGTAAGTTGATTAAATGGATTACCAGCCCACAACACCTTCAAATGCATCAGATAGCAATGAATATCCGGGAGCAACTGCCCCTCCGTACGAAAGTACTCCTCAGGATAATAATAAAAGACGCAGGTTGGTTTCAATTAATTGTATCTAAACCACCTTCCAATTATTTTAACTATTAATATTTCACAAAATATATCTTTCAGTTCCTCGAGATCAATAAAACGTCGACGTTTTGACGATGAATTAGTAGAATATAGATTGCCAGGGGCATCAATGGGAAAAGGAGAAAAGAGAATACGTACACCATCTTACACGAGTATATTGCCAGAATTTTCGAGTATTACTGGGGCACCCGTGACACCTACTATACCAGCGCAAGAAAGAAGACGGACGTCTAGTAAAATTTCACATGGGGGAAGTCGTAAACCGCGACGTAAAGGGTATCTGAGCCAGTTATCTACGAAAGACTTGGGACGATGGAAGCCAACTGATGATTTAGCTTTAATTTTGGGTGTTCAGCAGGTACTTTAAGCTTTTATGCACCTTACTAAGATAGCACATTTAAAAAAATATAAATTATAAAACTTTTTATTTCAGACTAATGATCTTCGCATAGTGCATCGTGGTGTTAAGTTTACGTGTCGTTTTACTGTTGGGGAACTTCAATCGCGATGGTATGCACTGCTTTATAATGCAGAGATATCACGAGTTGCAGTGGCTGCTATGCGCAATTTACACCCAGATTTGGTTGCTGCAGTCCAACAACAGGCTTTATATTCAACAGCAGAAGAAGATTTACTCGGAACATTACCTAGTGTTAGTATCTTCTTTTTAACATTCTAAGAATGATACAGAAAAAAAATAGTTAACATGAACTTTATGTTTGATTAAGTTATGTTCCCCTTTTAAATGCAATCAACATGCAAATTTTAAATGGTCATTGATTTTTTTAGTCTTCACACCCTGCACTGGAGAAGTTTCAAGAGTTATTGGATCAGAATCCTCATGTTTTCTATCCTTCTCGAACTGCTAAAGCTCTCATGAACCACTGGCAACTTTTGAAACAGTATCAATTGCTACCAGATCAAACTGTGCATCCACTTCCTAAAAGTAAGTTTTTATGATATAACATGTGAAGAGAATGTTTGTGTGTTTGTGCATTATGTTATAGTATACAGGATTGTCCAATTAGTGATGTCAACATTTTTTTTTAAGTAATTTCCAGAAGTTGTTTTTTTTTTTATTAAAACAAAAAATACTGCAAAATACCTACTACGAAAAAAGATATGAATTTTTGATACCTCACTGGCAGAAATCATTAAAAATTCACAAAAAAAATTATAACTCGAAAACTAAGAAAATTCGCTGAACATACATCGGGTATCCCCAGGTGCGAGGAATCTGAAAAAAATTGTTGATGTCACTTATTTCACCACCCTGTATAGTGGTATAATTGTTTGCTGCCTAATATTTTTCATAACAATACTTATTGTTGTTTTTACCTTTTCATAAAATTCTGTCTTTTAGGTACATTAGCAGCAATAACTATTTTATATTGCTTAATAGTGTGAGTTTAACTAGTCTCTAGCATACCATTATTTACACTACTATTTACCTATTTATTTTTATGTCTGTGTTGCAGGTCAAGACGATAAAATAATGTCATTTTCTGATGCTGAAGAAACCATAAACGACTCTGAATTGCCTGACTTTAAAGAAGATGGAATTGATATTGAAATGCAGTTAGCAGACAGGTTATAAGAAATTTAGTTCAATATTATTTTTAAAGCAGAACCAAGAACAGCTTTTAACCAGATGTGAATATTCTTTATTATATAAAATTTTTAATTTCTTTAATTGTCATATCCTATGAAATTATGTACTTAAATATGATAATTAATCTATACAAGCTTTGCAACCCTTTGATATTGTTGGTATAGATCGCGCCAAATTTCTAGTCCGCCCTGAAGTTGTTTCGCGCAGCTGTACAGCCCTAAACACAACCTTCGTCCCTTTAAATACGAGCTACGACGCGAATTGTGCAGTGTTCAGAGCGGACTAGAAGAGTGGCGCGATCTATACTTGTTTGTATACTTCAACTATATCATCATTAATTGTCTTCATCAATCTTCGATTTCGTAACTGTTGGGGTACAGGTCTTTTTTAATATAAATATGTAACCTAGCAAGTAAGCTTGGTGCAGATGCAGCCAAATCTAAGAGATTAAATAAGCCTTTTTGAGCATGTAGGAACTCAACATAATAAAATATTTGGTAACATATCCTATCACTAACTAAATTGTTAAAGCTGCTGAAGTTCTAGCAAACCGAATGTGCTAATCAACCGATTGTGCAGTGATTAGCATATTCGACATTATCATCATAAGCCTATTAATGTCCCCACTGTTGGGGCATAGTACATGACACGACCCACCATGCGGGTCCAGTGCGGATTGGTGGGTGCTAACTTCTGCAGATATGCGGCCGGGACTAACGGCTTAACGTGTCTTCCAAAGAACAGAGCAGCTCGAGATATTTAATTTTTGGTCACTCATCCAATGAACAGCAGCTGAACGCCACGAAACACTTGCGCAAACGAACTACAAAATAGGTTTACTAAAAAATGACGTTCAAAAAAGGGGTGCCCTAAAAGAATGTTTACATTTTTTAGGCCACTTATTACTTGTTACCTATGTCAGCTTTTAAGATACACACAACGTTGAGTTCAATCAAATAATAATACACAGGGTGGAAAAGAAGGAGATTCGGTTATTGGAGAATTCGTTGGCCCGGTGGCAGGTGCTGGTGCAATCTGTAGTCGGTGGCAGTATGGAGCTCGACAAAAATACGCTGGCTGTTCTTCGTGGACGCCTAGTGCGGTACCTTATGCGCTCCAGAGAGGTAAATATAACACTGACATTGTATTTTATTATGTACTTCTAATGTATGCATTCAGTGATGTCAATTAATTTCTATGCTTGTCAAAGTAACGTAAATAAATAAATATTTCCAACACTCACACCAATTAGCCTAGCCCCAAAGTAAGCACTGTAAGGCTTGTGATATGTGATGCTAGGGTAACGGATAGAATACATATGTTGTACATATATAAGTATATTTATATAGAAATACATATTAAACATCCATGACTGGAGTACAAATGCTCGTATTCATCAAACAAACATCTGCCCCCACCGGGATTCGAACCCGGGACGTCTCGAGTCGGCGACACCATGAAACCCGGCGTACAAACCACTCAGCCACGCAGGTCGTCGTCTAATTCTATTGATATTGCAAAGTTACAGCATCAATTTTAATAATTAATTGACGTTTCTTCGTATGGCTATAGGGGATGATTATCTCATTGTAAGATAGTACTTATCTACAAAATAAAATTTAATATGAATGACAAATTAACTCTTTAATTTGTCTGTTTAATACAATATTAGAGTTTTAAATATTAACGAGCGATTGAGAAATCGACCCTAAATGCCCTAATCAATTCATTGCTGTGCCGCTCCCCTCCATCCATAAGTAACCTAGTCGATACTAGGTGACTTACGGATGGAATTAATGTTGTCTATTGAGGGGTATTAAAACACGAATGTGGGTTTTAATACCTAATTATAACAGTTACACACAAGACTTTATCTATTCATGATATGAATACTCTAAAAAAGTTTTGAAAGTATGGGGCGTTCTAAAATCTTGAAATTCGTAAAAAGTTTCGGCGCTGTGGTAGTGAATGGCGCGTGAATGTCAGTTTTTTTAAAATTCATGCCTCAATTTTCAATTCATCTTCAATTCATTCATGAAGTGCCCTTGGCACAGAAGCTATTTAAAAAGCGAAAAAGTGTTATTATGAAATTAGTATAATAAATTAATAATTTAATCAATTATGACATTGGATGTTTTAGATAGATATACACTTTATTACTCACACATACACAATTAAAGGGTTTACAAAACAGATAGTATACTATGGTGGATAAAGGCGGTCTTACCGCTGAAAGCGGTCTCTTCCAGACAACCTTTAAGTCGAAGGATAGTTTAACAGAGATAGAAGAGTAATGTGCCAGTAAAATAAAAAACAAAATAAAATTTAAATAACAATACATATATTATGTAAAATACATACAAAACATAATACCTACACAAACACTCATGTGTGTCATTCGGACTTGAATAACAATAAACAAGTTCTTACATATTCTGGATTTTTAATAAATATTTTATGGACACCCTAATTATACGATCTGGCCAAATGTGGATGACCAAATCGTTAAATGTTGACGATTTAATGATCTGGTCAAATTAAGTTGGCCACATCATGAAATGTGACCATTTCATGAAATTCTCGAGCATTTCATGAAGTGATCAAATCTACGATATGGCCAAGACATATATATATAAATGAGAATATACTATGCATATACTGATATAAATATAACATAATATTAAAAGAATAATATATACATATACACTACACATATAAGTTATATGTTGCAAACTAGGACCTTGATAAAAGATGTTAATGAAGCTTGTTTTTGAAAATTGCAAGTGATGCGGAGTGACGGACTTCTGATGGAAGGTTATTCCACAAGATTGCAGCCTTGACAGTGAATGAATCCCCAAAGTATCCAGATCGAGTAAATGGAGTCCTAAGTCAATTGTCTGTCCTGGACCTAAGGTTCAGCACGTGATCGGTACTTAGAAATCGGAAACGTTCCTTAAGGTAGGGAGGAGAGCGCGGATCATACAGAACGTTGTACAGAAGAGTGAGAACATGCTCTTCACGTCATAGTCGGATGGGTAGCCACTTCAATTTATTCCTGTATACAGACACATGATCAAACTTGCTCAATCCATAAATAAATCTAATGCAAAGGTTCTGAAGACGCTCGAGCTTGTTTAACAGATCCTTATTAAGGTTAATAGGGCAGATATCAGCGTAATCCAGAATAGGAAAAGAAGTGACTGTGCAAGTTGGATCTTGGTCTCCACAGGCAGCAAGTTCCTCCATCTCCGCAGTGAACCGTCAGCAGCGAACATAGACAGATGTCTACTGACTTCAGCAATGTGAGGCGACCTCGACAAGACAGCATAAAAATTAAACCCAAGTTTTTGACATTAGCACAAAGGGTCAAAGGGGTACAGGAAAATAGAGGAGGAGGAATAACACTAGAATTGAGCCTGGCTATCTGCTTCGATCCGCCAAGGATGATCACCTGAGACTTCTGAGGATTCACTGTCAAGCCATGGGCACTACTCCATTCGTGAATGGTCTCAAGGTCAGCGTTTAGCTTAGCAATCATTCCATCTAAGTTTTCAATAGAGGCTTGTGAATAAATCTGTAGGTCTTCAGCATATAAATGATAATGACAAGAGAGGAGAGTGGTCAAAAAATTAATAAAGAAGGAGAAAAGAAATGGGGAGAGGACTCCGCCCTGGGGTACACCGGCTATGAGTTGACAGCAGGCAGACAGTTTGTCGTCAACACAGACACATTGGGATCGTCCGATTAAATAACTCCGAAACCACTCGACAACGTTATCCGATACAAAAGAGATTTTAACTTTGCCAGAAGGATATCGAAATCAACAGAATTAAATGCGTTAGTGAAATCTAATAAAACTAAGGTTGTAAGCTGTTGATTAGACATTCCCTCTCGCATATCATCAGACATCTTAGTTAAGGCAGTAACGGTGCTGTGTCCCGGACGAAAGCCAGACTGGAAAGGACAAAGGATATTATTAATGTTACCAAATACGCTAACCTGGTGGAATACAAGACGTTCCAAGACTTTTGACAGGAAAGGAAGAATAGAAATAGGTCTGAAATGAGAAGGTTGAGGATTTGAAGATTTAGGAATAGGGATGACAACAGCGTTGTGCCAGCAGCCCGGAAAAAACCCTGTGGTGAGTGAAAACTTAAATATATGGCAGAGAATGGAAACGCAAGAGGGCATGCAAAGGAGCATCATACGTCGGCCAATACTATCTAAGCCCTCAGTGTGAGATTTAACAGCACGTATATTCTTTTCAATCTCACTCTCAGACAAAGGCCTAAAAGAAAAGGGAGGATATGTCAATTTAGGAATTCGTGAGAGGGACTGGAGTTTAACGTTATGAGGGAATTGAGCGTGAAGTGGCGGTTCAGAGAGTCAGGATCCAGATTGAGAGGTAAACTCGATCTAGACTTGCCAATGCCAAGTGAGCCCAAGAATGACCATACTTTCGCTGGGTTACCATTAGCAACAGAGTCATGTATATGGCGACGCTGTGCGTCTCTGCGCATTGGACTACAGCGTTTCCGTAGCTCTCTGTACCGTAAACGGGTAACATCAGATGGATCATTTCTGAACTTCACTTTACCAAAGTTACGTCTGATCATTCTGGCCTTGATTTCCGCATTAAGCCGGAAGGTGTTTGAGACGTATAGGACGAAGAGGAGCATGAACATCGAATAGTTGTATGAGTAAAGAATTAAAGATTTCAAGCTTTTGGTCGATAGAAGGACCTTCAAATACTGCATCCCAATCGATACTGTTAAGGTCCGACATAAAGCGCTTTTCATCAATGTTCCCAGAAGCACGCTGCATAATCACTCGTGGCGTAGGTTTAGGGCAGCGGACTTTATAAGAAATGAAAATGAGGTCATGGTAGGAGAAAGCTTCGGCAGATAGTTGTCCGTGGGAACTGACAAGGTCAGTTGAGGAAACAATGGCCAGGTCCAACAGAGACGGGCAGCAATCGGGAAGGTGGTGAGTTGAAGATAAGGGAAGTAAATTTAGATAAAGCGAATCCACAATTGAATGCAAACGACAAGAGCGAGCATCGTGTTTGATGACGCAGGTGTTAAAATCCCCCATAATGATAGTATGATGAACCGTAGGAACCAGATTCTCCAAGAGAGTCTCAAATTTGGCAAAACAATCAATATGGAGGTTAAGGCTATAAATAAAACTCCAAGAAGAACCTTGAGGGGGCCAAGGAGAACCTCAACAAACAGATGCTCAGATGATTCAGAGTACAAAGACGGAGATTTATCCAAAATCCCCATGTTTTAATGTTGCCAATAAGCTAACTGTTTTAGAATCTATAATAGAGGTTTTAAAACATGGGGGTAGAGAAAAAAAATCACGTATTTACTACAACGTAATAGATAATTATGCTAACTTTGAACCCCAGCTTTACCCCTTTAGGGGCTGAGTTTTGGAAAATTTATGGATATATGTGTGCCAAATGAAAGCTTCGTTTCTGCCCAATTTTGTACCTTGGTTCAAATTATCTCAAAAATATCTAAAATTAACATTATAGAAAAAAAAGACATACCGACTGAATTGAGAACCTCCTCTTTTTGAAGTCTGTTAAAAAGACTTACTACTCATCTAAATCTCTAATAACAAACGCGCATCCCAATGCTTGGCGAGCATGCTAGTATATTACAGATTGACCGCCGATGGCCGATGCCGATCACTGTCGAACACAAATAGGCAAACAGCTCATCTACACGTTTTTGTTTATTTGTGTCCGCTGTTTGCCATTATTCTATTTGTAGGCAACGTCAGGTTTTTAGTAGGTAATCTTCCCCCCCCCCCCTCCCTCTTTTGAGCAGCTCAGTGGGTGGGCAGTAGGGGGGGCAAGTTTCACATACAACCCCTTCGCCACTTCCAGGTGACGGCCTATGCCTTATACATTTTCCTGACGTCAAAAGAAAGAAAAGGAGTAACTGTAAGCCACCAGCCAGGCCCAGTGTATTTAATACCAGAGATGACCTGCAGTTTCACCCGCATTAATTTGAGGAAAAATGTTATAGTAGTTCTCTCTTAGAAAATAGAGCCGGATCTATCGTCAACAAGCATGTATATGTATGTCGGCATTGTTCCCCTTAAGTAGTTCTGCATAGCACTTTTAGAACCCATAGATTAATTTGCATGCTCG